TCTGGCAACCACCCAGAACACCCTAGCAATCCCCTGACAACCGCATAGCAACACCCCAGAAGAAACAACCCTCTGGCAACCACCCAGAACACCCTAGCAATCCCCTGACAACCTCATAGCAACACCCCAGAAGAAACAACCCTCTGGCAACCACCCAGAACACCCTAGCAACCCCCTGGCAACCGCATAGCAACACCCCAGAAGAAACAACCTTCTGGTAACCACCCAGAACCCCCTAGCAACCCCCTGACAACCGCATAGCAACACCCCAGAAGAAACAACCTTCTGGTAACCACCCAGAACCCCCTAGCAACCCCCTGACAACCGCATAGCAACACCCCAGAAGAAACAACCTTCTGGTAACCACCCAGAACCCCCTAGCAACCCCCTGACAACCGCATAGCAACACCCCAGAAGAAACAACCTTCTGGTAACCACCCAGAACCCCCTAGCAACCCCCTGACAACCGCATAGCAACACCCCAGAAGAAACAACCTTCTGGTAACCACCCAGAACCCCCTAGCAACCCCCTGACAACCGCATAGCAACACCCCAGAAGAAACAACCTTCTGGTAACCACCCAGAACCCCCTAGCAACCCCCTGACAACCGCATAGCAACACCCCAGAAGAAACAACCTTCTGGTAACCACCCAGAACCCCCTAGCAACCCCCTGACAACCGCATAGCAACACCCCAGAAGAAACAACCTTCTGGTAACCACCCAGAACCCCCTAGCAACCCCCTGACAACCGCATAGCAACACCCCAGAAGAAACAACCTTCTGGTAACCACCCAGAACCCCCTAGCAACCCCCTGACAACCGCATAGCAACACCCCAGAAGAAACAACCTTCTGGTAACCACCCAGAACCCCCTAGCAACCCCCTGACAACCGCATAGCAACACCCCAGAAGAAACAACCTTCTGGTAACCACCCAGAACCCCCTAGCAACCCCCTGACAACCGCATAGCAACACCCCAGAAGAAACAACCTTCTGGTAACCACCCAGAACCCCCTAGCAACCCCCTGACAACCGCATAGCAACACCCCAGAAGAAACAACCTTCTGGTAACCACCCAGAACCCCCTAGCAACCCCCTGACAACCGCATAGCAACACCCCAGAAGAAACAACCTTCTGGTAACCACCCAGAACCCCCTAGCAACCCCCTGACAACCGCATAGCAACACCCCAGAAGAAACAACCTTCTGGTAACCACCCAGAACCCCCTAGCAACCCCCTGACAACCGCATAGCAACACCCCAGAAGAAACAACCTTCTGGTAACCACCCAGAACCCCCTAGCAACCCCCTGACAACCGCATAGCAACACCCCAGAAGAAACAACCTTCTGGTAACCACCCAGAACCCCCTAGCAACCCCCTGACAACCGCATAGCAACACCCCAGAAGAAACAACCTTCTGGTAACCACCCAGAACCCCCTAGCAACCCCCTGACAACCGCATAGCAACACCCCAGAAGAAACAACCTTCTGGTAACCACCCAGAACCCCCTAGCAACCCCCTGACAACCGCATAGCAACACCCCAGAAGAAACAACCTTCTGGTAACCACCCAGAACCCCCTAGCAACCCCCTGACAACCGCATAGCAACACCCCAGAAGAAACAACCTTCTGGTAACCACCCAGAACCCCCTAGCAACCCCCTGACAACCGCATAGCAACACCCCAGAAGAAACAACCTTCTGGTAACCACCCAGAACCCCCTAGCAACCCCCTGACAACCGCATAGCAACACCCCAGAAGAAACAACCTTCTGGTAACCACCCAGAACCCCCTAGCAACCCCCTGACAACCGCATAGCAACACCCCAGAAGAAACAACCTTCTGGTAACCACCCAGAACCCCCTAGCAACCCCCTGACAACCGCATAGCAACACCCCAGAAGAAACAACCTTCTGGTAACCACCCAGAACCCCCTAGCAACCCCCTGACAACCGCATAGCAACACCCCAGAAGAAACAACCTTCTGGTAACCACCCAGAACCCCCTAGCAACCCCCTGACAACCGCATAGCAACACCCCAGAAGAAACAACCTTCTGGTAACCACCCAGAACCCCCTAGCAACCCCCTGACAACCGCATAGCAACACCCCAGAAGAAACAACCTTCTGGTAACCACCCAGAACCCCCTAGCAACCCCCTGACAACCGCATAGCAACACCCCAGAAGAAACAACCTTCTGGTAACCACCCAGAACCCCCTAGCAACCCCCTGACAACCGCATAGCAACACCCCAGAAGAAACAACCTTCTGGTAACCACCCAGAACCCCCTAGCAACCCCCTGACAACCGCATAGCAACACCCCAGAAGAAACAACCTTCTGGTAACCACCCAGAACCCCCTAGCAACCCCCTGACAACCGCATAGCAACACCCCAGAAGAAACAACCTTCTGGTAACCACCCAGAACCCCCTAGCAACCCCCTGACAACCGCATAGCAACACCCCAGAAGAAACAACCTTCTGGTAACCACCCAGAACCCCCTAGCAACCCCCTGACAACCGCATAGCAACACCCCAGAAGAAACAACCTTCTGGTAACCACCCAGAACCCCCTAGCAACCCCCTGACAACCGCATAGCAACACCCCAGAAGAAACAACCTTCTGGTAACCACCCAGAACCCCCTAGCAACCCCCTGACAACCGCATAGCAACACCCCAGAAGAAACAACCTTCTGGTAACCACCCAGAACCCCCTAGCAACCCCCTGACAACCGCATAGCAACACCCCAGAAGAAACAACCTTCTGGTAACCACCCAGAACCCCCTAGCAACCCCCTGACAACCGCATAGCAACACCCCAGAAGAAACAACCTTCTGGTAACCACCCAGAACCCCCTAGCAACCCCCTGACAACCGCATAGCAACACCCCAGAAGAAACAACCTTCTGGTAACCACCCAGAACCCCCTAGCAACCCCCTGACAACCGCATAGCAACACCCCAGAAGAAACAACCTTCTGGTAACCACCCAGAACCCCCTAGCAACCCCCTGACAACCGCATAGCAACACCCCAGAAGAAACAACCTTCTGGTAACCACCCAGAACCCCCTAGCAACCCCCTGACAACCGCATAGCAACACCCCAGAAGAAACAACCTTCTGGTAACCACCCAGAACCCCCTAGCAACCCCCTGACAACCGCATAGCAACACCCCAGAAGAAACAACCTTCTGGTAACCACCCAGAACCCCCTAGCAACCCCCTGACAACCGCATAGCAACACCCCAGAAGAAACAACCTTCTGGTAACCACCCAGAACCCCCTAGCAACCCCCTGACAACCGCATAGCAACACCCCAGAAGAAACAACCTTCTGGTAACCACCCAGAACCCCCTAGCAACCCCCTGACAACCGCATAGCAACACCCCAGAAGAAACAACCTTCTGGTAACCACCCAGAACCCCCTAGCAACCCCCTGACAACCGCATAGCAACACCCCAGAAGAAACAACCTTCTGGTAACCACCCAGAACCCCCTAGCAACCCCCTGACAACCGCATAGCAACACCCCAGAAGAAACAACCTTCTGGTAACCACCCAGAACCCCCTAGCAACCCCCTGACAACCGCATAGCAACACCCCAGAAGAAACAACCTTCTGGTAACCACCCAGAACCCCCTAGCAACCCCCTGACAACCGCATAGCAACACCCCAGAAGAAACAACCTTCTGGTAACCACCCAGAACCCCCTAGCAACCCCCTGACAACCGCATAGCAACACCCCAGAAGAAACAACCTTCTGGTAACCACCCAGAACCCCCTAGCAACCCCCTGACAACCGCATAGCAACACCCCAGAAGAAACAACCTTCTGGTAACCACCCAGAACCCCCTAGCAACCCCCTGACAACCGCATAGCAACACCCCAGAAGAAACAACCTTCTGGTAACCACCCAGAACCCCCTAGCAACCCCCTGACAACCGCATAGCAACACCCCAGAAGAAACAACCTTCTGGTAACCACCCAGAACCCCCTAGCAACCCCCTGACAACCGCATAGCAACACCCCAGAAGAAACAACCTTCTGGTAACCACCCAGAACCCCCTAGCAACCCCCTGACAACCGCATAGCAACACCCCAGAAGAAACAACCTTCTGGTAACCACCCAG